ATATACAGCATGTTGACAATAGTTAACAATTCTGTGATACACACACACACATACTTATACACTTGAAAGTTGCTAAGAGAACAGATCTTAAATGTTCTCACCACACACACACACACACACACACACACACACACACACACACACAAAAGGCAACTGTGTGAGGTGATGGATGTGCTAACAAACCTTACTGTGGTAATTACTTCACAGTATACATATATTAAATCATCACACTGTATACCTTAAACCTACACAACGTCATGTGTCAATCATATCTCAATAAAGCTTCATTCAATTCTTAAAGTTGACTTACACCCAGCTTTCAGGAATATACATGTAACATCATTCTAACCACTCCTCAACTGAGGACATTCTCCTGGTGAGACAATCCCCTTCTCCCCTGGGTGGAGGAGACAGCAGTTTTGCTTCGTAAAATATCCCAACCAAGAAATGAAGTTCGGAGATGCACCACCTCTTCCCACACTGCAGAGCACATTGGTTTAGTCAGACTCTGACCTTTTTTGCACCAGGGTTGTTTCCTTGTGAGACTTGCCTCCTCTGTGAAAGTCCTCGGGCCCTGCAGAAATCCTGCAAGAGTTCAACGCCAGCGCTTGGTCAACCACTATTATGGAGCTGACAGATTCTTGGCTCTTCCACATTTTCTCTTCTTCTTCTTCTCTTATTTATTTTTTGAGTGAATAAGTAGATCTAGTTAGGTTTATTATAGGAACAAAGTTCTTCTGGAAAGCTAATTCTTTCGAATGGTTGAAATGAAAAATAATACCCCCTCCCCACCCTTCAGAGCCCACTCTGATTTAAGCAGATGAAAACGCTAGCATTTCTAAACCCAGGGCTTTATTTGGGATGTAGAATATAAAGTGCCTTTTCTAGCCATTGTGACAGGAAAGGAATGCACAGGTTTCTCAAGAGCAGATTGCAGGGCCCATGCTGATCTAATTTATGGATCTTCCTGCCAGGAATAAAACCTCATGGCTGTGGCACTTATTCAATGATTATTTGATATTTTATGTATTCAGTGAATATATGGAAATATTTTTAAATTGGGTTTTTAAACTACCTATTTTTTTTAAGTAGTTTTCCTCTTTAACTTCTGGACAGCCACATTGAAAAGTCTTCCTCACATGAAGAAGGAGATTAATGATTATCGGACAATGCATGAAAATGTGACAATGATTAAGCCCAGACAGATTATAACATTAGTCAATGGGAGACACGTGGTACCGAGCCTAGCATTGGTTTTTGATGTTAGCAACAATCATTTGGAATAACTTGCTTAGCAAGCTAACCACCTCTTATTTTTGCCCTTTATCTTAATGAGAGAGGAACAACGAAATTCAAACCCTGACTGGAGTGTGTGCCCACAGACAGGCAGATGTGTGTTCACCATGAAAGAGGGCAGAACCTGTGACAATAACCGAGGCACTGGTCAAAGAAAAAAAGACCTGAGTGCAAAAAAAATCTGTTTTGTGAACGTAACATGGTCAGGGTAAGGTGGTTTTTAAAAAGTCTTTCAGTTGAGCTGCTCATTTTCTCAAGTGTTAACCCATTTAGAAGACACTTATTAGCAGGGCTTGGTGGGGGGGGGGGGATATAAGAAAACAAAATATTTAAAATATTTTTTTAAATGTTTCACCGGTTCTAAAGATGTGTTTTATTTATCTTGCCATAGTACTATTGGGTCAGTTTCCTAGGGCTCCTGTAAAAAACTACCACACACTTGGTGGCTTAAAACAACAGATTCTCTCACAGCTCTGGAGGCCCAAAAGTCTGAAATTAAAAAGTGTCAGCAGGCTTGGTTCCTTCTGGAGGCTCTGGGCAAGAATCTGCTCTCTGCCTCTCTTCTGTCATCCAGTGGCTGCCCACAACTCGTAGCTTCGCTCGGTGTGTACATGCGTCAGTTAAATCCCTGCCTCCTGCACACCGCCTTCCTGTCTGTGTGGCTGTGCACCTCTGCCTCTTCCATCTCTTATAAGGACACCCACCATTGTGCTTAGGGCCCACCCTGATCCAAAATGACCTCATCTCGAGATCCCTACCTTAATTACAATAGCAAAGACCCATATTTCAAATAAGGTCTCATTTGCAGGTTCTGGGTACACATGGTTTTTTGGGGGCAAGGGGTCATTATTCAACCCACTGCAGCAATAATGGTGTCCTTCTCCTGGTAATCCCTCAGGTTCTTAATCTTACTATCATCTCTAATCTCTTTCCTTTTCGCTCTCTTTTTTTAAGTTTATTTATTTACTTTAAGAGAGACAGAGACCGCGTGAGTTGGGGAGGGGCAGAGAGACAGGGGGAGAGAGAGAGAATCCCAAACAGGCTCCAGGATGCTGGCACAGAGCCCAACACGGGGCTCAAACCCATGAAACCACAAGATCATGACCTGAGACGAAATCAAGAGTCAGACACTTTGAGGCACCCAAGCACCCCTCTTTCCTCTTCTCTCTGCTTTGCTCCACTTTCTACTTCCCTTCTCCTGTGACACACAAAATACATTTTGTAACTTGATTCTTCCTATTGCATCAGTGTGTTGGACAAACAGGAGGAAGGTATAGAAACCTATAAAATAAAAGACTCATTGTTGGATTTAACCATTTTTAATCTTATTTAAATGTGCACAGCATAGAACTAGGTTCAAAGTTCTATGGCATACCATTCTCAGCCAATCATAAAACAAAAACAAATCTACAGATTAATACAACAAAAATATAAAACCAATAAAATTTTTACAAAATATTTATTTATTTTGCGAGAGAGAGCCCTCACGTGAGTGGGGGAGGGGCAGAGGGAGAGGGGGAATCTCAGGCAGGGTCCCAGCTGACTGGCTGTCCGTGAGGAGCCCAACAGAGAAGCCCACGCCCAGGGCTTGAACTCATGAACTGTGAGATTATGACCTGAGCTGAAATCAAGAGTGAGATGCTTAACCAACTGAGCCACCCAGGTACCCCTAAAACCAACAAAATTTAAATGTAATCATTCCAAAAGGTTTGTATTGAGGTTCTATTATGTATCAGGCGTAAGAGGTGTAACAGGTGGGGGAGACACAGCAATCAACCAAACTGGCAAAAATACCTGCCCTGGTGGATTACACTTCAGTATATTAGCGACCAAATGGGAAGAACCAGGTATTAGTAATATCCCAAAGCCAAACGCTATTCACAACATGACTATATGTGACTAATTGCTACAGGGTGACATCATTTGAATCCAGCATCTATGCTACTGTTTTCCACGTGATGAGTCAGCTCTGCAATCTCTTTTCTCTTTTTTAACAAATGCAAACATTTCCTCCACATGGTGAACTACATCATTTGGCAGACCGACATCATTTACATGTGAAGCCTACCTTTTTCTTCTCTCATTAGCCTCAACAATTAAACACCATTATTCGGACACACCATTCCACTTTCTTGTGTACCAAATCAACATGTCAATACATTAAACAACTTAAAAAACCAGAATCTTGCCCTATGGAAGCTCCCTTCAAGTGCAAAATTCACTGCAAACAAGTAATTCTGTCTGTGGAATTGATTAAAATAATTTGACATTCACAGTCTGAATCTGGTTTTGTGGGGGGTTTTTTGTTTTTGTTTTTGTTTTTTTGTTTTTGGTATGTCCAGACATGTGGCTTGATTGAGATTCCCTCTATTTCTAGAGCCTTAAATCCAAAAGCATACTAGCATGGAAAAAACACTTGCTCCACTGCAGTATTTCATGAATGCATCTCGTTCTTTTTTTTCCCCAGTATTTAGGTTAAGAAATGGGATATGTTAGACGTATTTGTCAAAGTTCTACTTAATACTTCAAATTTAACACTTTGGCGCGGTTACTACCTACCAAAACATGAACAACCCAGAACCACCACTAACCCCTCTCATTCGCAAGGCAGAGAGAGAGAAGGAGGGATGGAGGGAGAACAGCAATGATTCCACAGTGACCATTTATGGCCATTCACATATCCTTTTGCCCCATGCTACCTGGCCCTCTGAATTCTCAGACCATTCACTAGAGCAAACACTCTAGAGCTAATCATTCTTTATTGCCATAGAGATATTTTTTAAACATTACTTTAAAATCATTTAGGACAATTTTGTTCTTTGGGCACTTCTAGTGTTTAGACTCCTGGGTCAATAAACCTTCTACTGAACAGCAGTTGAGGAATGGGTGAGGAATGGTTATTGTGATTTTCACATTAGAAGTTGCCAACCTAATAGCAGCCAGACGTGCTTACCAGCATATTTGAATGTTAAACGCTATCATTTTGGTAATTACGTGGTGCCAACATTCAACCACAAATGCCAAGAAAACACAACACCTAAATCACATGGTGGGGTTCAGTTAAAATGTGGTCATCCAGATGATCAAAAAGAAAAGGCAGCATTTTCAAATTCTTAGTGAGAATTTGCTGACCCTAAGAATATAGACCCTGATTGCAAAACCCTACAACATGCTTCAGACCTTCTGTGTCCATTCCCACTGCCCCTGTCGTGCCCACTCTAGGCCCTCAGCTCTTACTCATGGCCACATCTTCTCGTTGCCTTTGTTCCCATCCATTCCAACCTACTCCTACCTGAGTCACATCTTCCACTAGCTCTGCTTGGCTCCTTCTGTTCTGTTTATGTTTTATCGTCTAATAGGTAAAATGGGCCAAGTTTTACATACTGGCTGCCTGGGGTGATTCAAAAGCTTTGTAATTCCCATAATGTCCAGAAGACAACAAAGTCAAAACCATCTGAACTGCCCAACAAAGTAATGCATAAAATAGCCCATGACTCCAAGCAAGGTAATTTGCAATAAGAGAGAGCAAATGAGCTATAGAAGCACTCACTTTAGTTCATCACATCCCAGAAATCATTCTCCACGGGTCTAGCCACGGCATGGGAGCACACACAATAATAGCAGCAAACACCCTTCTAAGACCCCTCCATATAACTCACTTATCTTTGTAACATCCCTATGAGCTAGGTACTATTATTACTCACATTTTGATGAACGTGGAGATGTGTCACCAAGATCCCTCTTCAAGGAAAACCTGCCCCTCAGTCGAGGGGGAGAATGGTCTGCAGACAGCCTCCAGCCCCCTGTGAGTCCATCAGCTGCAGAGTTGCCCTGTGTATGGTCATGCTCTTCTCTCAGGCAGCCTGTGTAAGGGGGTGAGTCAGGGAAGAAGGGTCAGCCACATCAGCCTGCCCTGGGATTGTTCTAATGGACACTATTCCCTGCAGGGCTCCCCACTGGGTCAGCCTCCACATTGTGGGGCTTGCATTACTGTTTGAGCTCTCCCTCTGTCCAGTACACTTCCTTCCCTCTTCCTTTTGCAGGTGCTGACTTCTAACCAATGCCCTGCTCTTCAAACTATTCCTCCTCTGCTTCTGCAGATCCCAACTCATGACAGGCCCCCGGGGATTCCCTTCCCTCCACTTCTCTAGGTTAAACCTTCAACACTCAGTCCACATCTCCCCTCCTCCATGAAGCTTTCTCCAATTCTAATGAGCTTGATCAACCTTTCCTCTGAAGCCACACAAGCCTTACATGCCATGATCCTAATTTGCACCTTGTTTTATAAGTCTCCTTTTATCTGTGTGTCCTGAATCCTCACTACAATAAAGGCACCTTCAGCACAGGAATCAGTGTCTGCTATAAATATTCTTTTTTTAATCATATTTTTAGAAATTTAGCATTATAGTCTTAGCACTCAGAATTAACAAATGTCCCCCTTTCAAAAAATTGTTTCCAGAATCTTACCACCACCCCCCCATCCCATCACCCTCCCCATGGACCAGGAGACTCCATTCACATAAGGCTGATGTGTCGCTTACACATATGCAACATCACATAAATGTTATACAGCATTTTGTGTATGAATAATTACACTTCACGCAGGGAGCATCATATTCTGCTGTTGTTCTGAAGTTTGTTTTTTCTACTCAACACTATGGTTTTTACACTAATTAACTGCATTCCTGATACACATATTGGATACCCCAAAATATTATTGATAATAACAATGATGGTGAAAGACACACTGAGTCAGGAGAGTAACTAGAAATTCATGACCTTAAATTTTTCATGACCTTAAGAACTGAGAGCTAAATGTATACTGTCTATATCCCATGTTCTCAGTTTCCTAGCTGTGTGATCTACAGCAAGTCACTTAACTGATCTATGTCTCATCTATGTTTCCATCTTCAAAATGGAAAAAAACAGCAGCTACTTCACCTACTTCGCATAGTGATAAGTAATTTAGTTAGTGCATTTCAGGTTCTTAGAAAAGTGTGTGGCGCATAGTGGGCATTCAAAACACTGTATTTAAGAATAATCATAACTGGGGTGCCTGGGTGGCTCAGTCAGTTAAGTGTCTGACTTCAGCTTAGGTCATGATCTCACGGTCCGTGAGTTCAAGCCCCATGTCAGGCTCTGTGCTGACAGCTCAAAGCCTGGAGCCTGCTTCAGATTCTGTGTCTCCCTCTCTCTCTCTCTCTCTGCCCCTCCCCTGCTCACACTCTGTCTCTCTCTCTCTCTCTCTCTCTCTCTTTCTCTCTCAAAAATAAATAAACACTAAAACAAATTTTAAAAAAGAATAATCATAACTATTAATATTATCATAGCACACCAAGGATGTTAGCTCAAGAGATCTGAATGATCCAGATTTTGAACCTTGAGAAAATACAGAAGAGAAAAAATCATTGAGAAGTTTCTTATATTATAAAGAATAATTAATTCTACCATTAATATTTGCCCCAACAGCCCAACTCTTAAAAGCTGAGGCATTTTGCTTCTTTTACCCAGTTAGCTTCAGGCTTACGGCCAATCGTTTGTCAATTATTTTAACCTCTTAACCTAACTCCGCAGAACAGATTATTCTCAGAGAAAGCTGAAAAGTGAATTTGGCTACATCTTTGCCTGCAGTTTCTCTGCTTGCACTTTAAAGAAATCTTAGTTGGTAAGGAGAAATCCCCTCTAAAGCCACTGTGACTAAGTTATTCTAGAGCTTCAGTAGTTTTTCTTTCTTTAAGCCAGGTTTTTTTAAAAAAAAATTGTTACCCTTACACTCTCTGTATTTATTTATTTTGGCCTCGGTGGACTAGACCACAGCTAAAACTTTATGGACCTCATAAAGTTCCCAACATTCTCAGACACGGGTCGTGATGTTTGTGCACTGGGCAGAAAACAAAGGTGCATTTATGAGGAGAATGGACATGCTCAGAGATTAATGAACTGAGGTCAGGCATATAGGCTTAGGCTACAGCTACACTGCATCACAGGCAACACATGGCTTAAGTGTGTCCCTCTCTTTCCAGTCTCCCTCTCCTGTCCTTTATTCCCTACAAATGACATGGGGCCCTGGTGCCGGGGCTGTTCCTCAATTACCAGGACCTCCCACCATGTCACTGCCCATGTCACTGTCGAGGGCTTGTCCTGACCCAAATTAACTATGTCTGGAACTTTCCATCCTACCCTCACACAGTCATCTTCAAAAATTATCTGTCCTGTGTCTCCTTTCCTCACAGTTTGGCTTCCTTATAGGTGAAAGTTGGTTAATCTGATAAAGGAAATTAATTTGTTACCTCTACCACATAGGGAAGGTCTTTCAGCAGAAGCTTTCTAGAGCCAGCATCTCAGTCCGAAGCACTGGTTCCATTGTAAGGAAGTGGGCCAAGCTTGTGGCACTTTTGAAATTACACCACACCAGAGGCTGCCTAATTTACCCACTGCTATGGACTGAATGTGTGTTTCCCTTAAAACTTTACATGTTGAAACTCTGTCTCCAAGGTGATGGTATTTGGAGGTGGGAAGGTAATTAGGGGTCGATGGAGTCATGAGGGTATAGCCTTCATGATAGTATTGGTGTCCCTATGAAAAGAGGAGACACTGGATCTCTGTCTGTCTGTCTCTCTCTCTGTTCTCTCTGTTCTCAGAGAGAGAGAGACAGAGAGACTGAGAGAGAGAGAGAGATCCAATGGAAGGCCATGTGAGGATATAACCAAGATGAGAGTCCTCACCACAAACTGACCCTACCGGCACACTGATCCTACTTCCGGCCTCCCCAACTGCGAGATATAAATGTTTGCAATTTAAGTCACCTAGTCTGTGGTTATCTTGTTTTGGTAGCCAGAACAGACTGAGACAGCTACCCACAGCACTGACCCCCAAAGCTTGCAGGAGTGTGCAATATGGTATTTCACTCTACTTGTGCACAGTTAATCAGACATCATACTTTCACCTTGAACTTTATGTGCTTTATAATTTTCAATATACTTTTATATCGCTTGATCCTCAGAACACCTTGCTAGGTGTTGACAAATTAGTTTTCTTTTCCCCATACTAAACAGAAATTCTCTTACCAAAAGGCTTGCATGATATTGATTACTTAGGAGACTATATTATGTCAGCTCAAAAGCACAGAACTTCCTTTCGATGATTAACGCTGAAAAGAAATAAGTAGTTCTTCTTGTTATTTAGGTAAGAATTACTGCTCCTGAAAGAAAGTATAAATCCTCAGATGGTCAGTGCATATGGCCTTTCCATCTTTTAAGATCTAAAACTCAGTAGGAATATATTACAAGATTAATTATGCCCAAAGAAAATAAGCATTGCCGTCAATCTTCAGATAAGATTAGGGTTTTTGTTTTGGTTTGGGTTTTGCTCAAAAAAAATCATCTATGTGCTTTCTATCATGCGTGATGTTTTTAAAAACTGCTTTTAGCGTTAACATCTTGCCATACTTCCTGTCCCTATATTTTCTCCCTTGTTCCTTATGTCTGCACAAGTTTTCAATTTAGATTATATTTCCAGCAGATGTTATATCTTTTAGAGTGTTTGCTTTCTCTTCATTAAAAAGGACGTGTAATACATTTTATTATTTTGAAAGAAAATAGCCTGAGTAAAGATGTTCAGAAATCTTGAATTATTGCTTCTTAATTTTGTGTTTGTGTGTGCGCGCGTGTGCACGTGCACGCTGTTTCTGGGAACAGGAAAGCTATAGGAAAGAAGGCTTGTGTTTCACAAACACTGAAGGAGAATAAGACTATCTTCCACTAGCTCCTAAAACTGTAATATAGACAAGCATTTAAAAACACAATAAAAACTTCTACTGGAGAGCATTTTCAATATTCAAAACCATATATGTGTAAAATAGGATGTTCATATTTTCTAAAGCATTCTTGATGCTTAGTATAAATATCAGCTCACGATGCTAATGAACAACTCTCTGGGGATTTTAAGCATGTAAAAATCTGCATCTAGCTATATTCACACAACTTTAACTACAATTCATTTTAATAGGCTGGTAGCTCTTGAATGAAACTGTGGCTGCATCAAAAAATTGTCTTTTTCCCTTTAAAGTAGAAAATTTCACCCAAATTGTCAGTGCCCTCCAGTCCCTCTCTCCCCTCTCTTTTCAAAAAAGGCAAAGATTTCAGTTATTAGCACCCTTTTTAGATTTAACTCTATATTATCACTCTGGAGTAATTTGGATTTTCAAACATCCCTAAAATATGTAATGACCTCTGTTTCTATTAGTGAAATCCTAGACATCAGTAAGCAAGGATGGGGCAAATTTGGAGAGGCAGGAAAAGGGCACTTTCACTCAGCTCCTGAGATCACCTGGGTTGCTTACTCATTTCCCAGCAAGGTTGACCTTGTTAACTGTAACATAAATAGCAAAAAGCACTAAACGACAACAGAATCTCTATGGCACTTGGAGACTATAAAAGTCTCTTAGTCTGTGAAATTGGCACACAGAGTTATTCTTGGTTTCTCACCTCTCTTGAGCAGGGAAGCCATTTTCCATGCATTATGGGGTATGTTATCCTGATTATCTTACTTTCAACTAGGTGATCTCTAAGTCACCAACAGTTAGGAAATTCTAGGATTTCACTCAGCTCAGTACTCTGAGAGTTTGGCACAGGGATAAAGGCTGACACCCAATAAATATGAATGAATGAATGAATGAAAGAAAGGAAGGAAGGAAGGAAGGAAGGAAGGAAGAAAGAAAGAAAGAAAGAAAGAAAGAAAGAAAGAAAGAAAGAAAGAAAAAGAAAGCAAGCCCAATATCTGAGATTAAGCTGTGATTGAAGTTCCAGGAGACAAGAGCAGGATTAACAAACTACTGCAAACACCTGAAAGAACATTTCCAAGA